CAGTTACTGCTTTATAAGCAGCCAACTCTGTTCCTAGAGGATCTGAAAAAAAAATGTGGGGGGAAAAGAATATAATGTGTTATTCAAAATGTACAGCATACTAAACAGAGTCACGGAACCTGATAAGAAACAAAAACATCAAGAGAAACATTTCAGCATACCGAGTCATATATAAACTGTTCACACACCTTGGCACATGATGTGCAGGCCGTTGCACTTAGTAGTATTGATGAATGTCATATTTGTTGTGAGCTTGAGACATTTAGCTTGGCTTGAAGTGTGCTTAAAGCCCTTGAAGTCTCCACATCTTCTGTCCTTACACACTTCAGTCCACCAGCTGACTGAGATGTCGCTGCTAGAGCACAAAGGCCCTTGACGCTCATGAGAATACACATACAGCTGACCTTCACATGGACTGACCTTCCATATAACCTTCAGCCGGAACAGATCAGACTTAGTAATATATTCTATGATTTTCGGACATGTGGCCCATAGGGTAGTGGAGGTTGTAGCACTAGTGGGTCGTGGGGTTGAGGGGGTTGAGATGTTGTTGATCGAGGACTGAGCTGAGATTCCTTCTGTAAAGGGAAAAAGCTCATAGACATAAGTTACTTTCATGTTGGAATACCACAATCCTTTTTCTCCACATAAAATGTGCAGTTGTGCAAGAATTTGAAACATTTCAAGTATCAAATGTAAATGAAATGAATTACAGCAAGAAACTGTTAGCGTTTGCTGACTGCTGTTCTGTGCTCTTATTTTATTACATTGCAACTCACATGAAGACATCGCTGCAGTTTTTGATAGAGTGTCACCAATATTCTCCATCTCAGTAACATATTCTGTTTTAAGAACTCCACATCTTCATGCAATATTTTCTATGTAAAATATTGCATGATATGCACTGCATTATTCAAGCATAAAAACGCCCCGGTTACTGAAGTCAGAGAGCAAATAGCTGGATCATTTGCACTCATTTTACACTCTTGCACTTTTTGCACAGTGCTCGAAGGCATTCGCACATATTTTGCACATTTGATTGCAAGATTGCACTTTGCAAACAGATGGACATTCATAAAATTCAGAATCACGGCATAAATGGATTTATAATTTGGATTACCAAAATTAACCATAATGATTTTATACATATAATTACGTTTACATTATGGTTATGTGAGTGGAGTGGAATGAGCGGAAAAACTTTTCAGATGTTTAAAACTTATTTACATGTTTAAACTGTCTATTTATATAATTATATTAAAACAAATATTATTATATATAAATTAGAAAATTCTTGAATTCTAATGTACAAAGCCTGTTTGTTCACAACAACATTCTTTGACAACATACATTTTGTGTAATACAGGTGGCATTTATATGATTTTCACATTTCAGTGCTTAATATTTAAGAACGTGTCCTTGTTGATAAACCATTTACATTTATTTTTGATGGAAAACAAAGCTATATTAAAGGCTCATTCATTAGTTCTGGGGTTAAATATGTTAAATGGTAGTTAACACATATTCCTTTGAAAATTGCTTCCCGTGGTTTTGTTTACGTTTTCTCATTCTTTAAAATTCAAATGGCAAAATGATTCATCTAGCAGACAAAAGAGCAGCTGAAAAAGTAATTTCCCTTTTTAACAGTATGCAATGTAAATTACATTTTTTACATCCCCCCCCAAATATATCTTTTTTTTAATCTTTATGGCATAATGTGGGATAAAATAATACCATTGTACATGTAAACGACAAATTCTAACAGTTTCTACTCCCTTATGATTGTTGCATGCAGCTTATCTGTTAAACACAAAGAAAAAAATCTAAAATATTTACTTTATCTATAATAAAGAAATGTGTAAAAAGAGTTATTGCAAGGTTGACCGATTTACTGAATTCACCTCATTAGATGGATAGCTTGCAATAACGTTCAAATATTTGCACTGACATCAGTTTCCAGTAAAGGGAGTTCAAAGTAAGAATTTGAAAAATGAACAACAATCTATACAAGCATGTGACATATTTTATTGACAACTGCTCTAATTTTTGTAATGCGTTCTTGCGGACCCTAAAGTTGTGAAGTTGTGATTTTATGATATGATGGTATTCTTTATTGCTCTTCATTTATAATGCAAAGCACGATGTTTTGCATTCTAAAAGTTCTTCAATATAACATACAATACTGTGACTGAATGCATCGGAATAAATTCTAGCTGCGTGCTATTGTTCCTTGCTCGGGTTTGTCTTACTAGAGAAATATTAGATCAGACAGATAAAAATCTATCTGTACATCTACAACTCACTACAGATATTTTCTTCAAGTGGTAAAGTTTCAGATGCAGAGCAGATCCATGTACATATAATCATACAAAAATGCAACAATGAAGTATATTTAAAGAACAAACAATTTACTTACGAACTCCAAGGAGCAGGAGCACCGTAAGAGTCATCAGCAGAGCGTTTTCCATCTGGCAAAAGGTTTGCCAAACATTTAAAGCAAAATTTTACTTCATTTGACTAAACAAAGTGACTATATACACTTCAAAAGATAACAGGCCCAGAGGTCAAATAAATGACCTCTGGTACATCACAAGCAAAGCTGTTTTTTTATTATTATCTAATTGGGCCTCGGCTCAACTAGAATGTTTCATTTTGTTTTTCTCCTACTTTTTAGTGGTTCAGATAAAGCAAACAAATACGCAACCATGGCCATATTAAAATATTTGGCCTGCACTTTTTTTAACAGAATGCCAGAGACCAATCTTACCGTGACTTGAACCACAATACGAACAAATCATTCACTACAGTGACATACAGTAATAAAATTTTCAATACAAACTGGACTTCCTTTGGTTGTTATTTAAGAAATGCTACATTATGTCTCGTTTGTAACTGACAGCTGTCTTCACGTCTCCGCTTCAGCAGTGTTTGAAGATTTTCTTCTTCAAAGAGTGTCAAACATCAATGAAACACCACAACTTCTAACCAGCTTTTTAACAATATATCATCAGATCTTACCTTGCCTGTGACTGACAAGAACAAATGTGTGGAGCAAGTGCAAGAAAAATGAAGTGAAAGGAAATAAGCAGAGGTGTGGAGCTACAATCTTTAATTCCCCGCCCCCATCCTCTGTCTCTCCATATAGAGCGTGTCTTTTAATCTCAAGCGCTGTTTGATTGCACATTGCACTGCTTCCTCACTTCAAAGAGAGCTGCACACAAAAAAATGAAGAAAAGCTTGAAACAAAAAAAAAAGTGAGTGTAGGTAAGTGGGAGCAGAAAAGTACTAAGTAATGTGACATTGTCTAACTTTGTATTAAATGTAAAAAAAAATAATTACATTTACATTTTTAAAAATGTAATGTTCAAATTTAAAAGTCGGTGGTCAAATTTGGTAAAAATTAGTGAGATTATCTTTTCATCTAAAATTTAAAGATGGTTGGAAGTAAACAATAAAGCAACAAAAAATCTGCATATTCAAAATCTTTGTCACTGCATACAGGAACTGAGTCTCTTGTGGTGTACGGCGCACTCTCGCAAGTTGCTCAAAGATGATTAATCGTGCTCACAGGAATAAACTGCGGCAATCATTACGGCTACAAAACCACCGATATCCACATCTATCCTTTCATTTCACTGTTACTCATATCTTCTTTTCATTCAATCTTTCCCAGCCGCCTCTTTCCCCTCCCTCACTCTCTTGATTTTTCTCAGGTGTCGCCGGGGTTGGTTTACCATATCGTACAGTCGCAGAGAGAGCCGTAAAGACTGGGTTTTATACCTGTACCAAAAAATTCCCCCAACACCCTCTTGAAACTCTCGGCTATGATTCAATATGAACGGAATTTAAACAGCCTTCAAAAGTGAGTCAATGAGCTCAACTACCACTGCTTTTCTTGTAAATTTGTGAAAACATTGGGATTGTACTGCAAAAGAAAAGAAACAAACATTTATATGTTTGGGGTCGGTACATTTTTTTTGAAAAACATTCTTATGCTCACCCAGGCTGCATTTTTTAAATCAAAAATACAGTACAAACATTAATATAGTGAAATACTATTAAAAAAAACTGTTTTTTTATATGAATATATTTTAAAATGTAATTTATTTCTGTGACGGGCCCAATGCACTCAAATCAACTTGCTGCCCAGCGGGGAGCATGTTTATTTTAAAACATTGACTTTCACTCTCGGTGGAAAACACCACTTACATTGCCGTAATCTTGTTGCACTCCACTATGCTACGTGGGTGCAATGTTCTTATGGGAATGAAATGTGAATGTGCTTTCAATTACATTTGTTCATAAACTACTATGTGAAGTGTCTCAAATGACCTTTGACTGACCGGCATTTATTCATGGCTCAACTGATAAAAATGACAAAAAATTAAATAAATAAAAATTAATGTATTTAACACTTGTTGTGAATTCTGCAGATTTAAATCTGTCATTAAAAAAAGTTTTGTAGCTCTAATACAAAGAGCTCAGAGTTCAAAAGTTAGTTCTGAAAGTAGTCTATTATGCTCACCATGGCTACATTTAATTAATCAAAAATACAGTAAAATCAGTAATATTGTGAAATATTATTACAATTTAGAATAACTGGTTTCTATTCTAAAATATTTTAAATATAATTTATTGCTGTGACGGCAAAGCTGAATTTTTAGCAGCCATTAATCCAGTCTTTAGTGTCACTCACATGAGCCTCCAGAAATAATTCTGATTTGGAGTTCAAGTAACATTTCTAATATTATTATCAGTGTTGAACATATTATTATCAATGTATTGCTGCTTAATGTTTTTTTTTGTAAAAACTGTGATACATTTTTTTTATGAATCGAAAGGTCAAAAGAACGGCATCTTTTTGAAATAGAAATCTTTTGTAACATTGTCTTTACTGTCACCTTTGATCGATGTGTTGAATAAAAGTATTTAATTCACTAAAAAAAAAATACGAGTCAGAAAAAAAGCCAGTTATTCCAATCAACACATAAATCGTAGATCAACTTCAGTGTTTAATATTCACACCCGAAAAAAAGGACAATAAAAAGACACTTTTAACAGGCTACAGTCATCACAACCAATGCAATTGAATTTCTTTTCCTCTAATGCTGCAAATCAATGTGCTAATAAAATTTTCATCCCATTTTTTTTTTCTCTCATCCTCGTGTCGTATCACCCCTCTCCCTCGCTCCAGGTGCTGGGGAGGGAACCTAAACGTGGGGGTTTTGCTACAAACCTGAGTCTTAATTACTGAGTTCATGAATTAGATAAAGCCACCTGAGGCTTGATTGAGGACGCCTCTAGTTTTGAATTGCTTTAAAGTACAAAAATAAAGAGAGACCCCACACGCCTATTCTAAAGCTGACGGTTCGAAGGTCCCACTCCCAGCTCCTGTTGCCAAAGAGTTCGGGGCGGTTAGTGTGGAGTGCTAGTGTGATTCACATGGTCCTCCGGTTGTCCAACAAGGAGACCTCAAATAGATGGGGCTTTTACAGATCTACATAACACCACATAATGACAAGCACAGGCCGTTTGGATGGATGGGCCTACAGCTGTGGGCTAGTGAGAGTATTCATGTGGCAGAATCTGAAGGTGGACTCAAATCAAACCACAAAATGAAGCATTCTGTTGGTTAACCGGCTCCAATCCCACCCATGTTATGATTCTGAGGGCAATGTGCCACTGAAACAAACTGGGCGGCTAGCTGTACAAGACCATCAAATGTCTCATTGTGTCTAAATTCAGTGTAAAATATGCAGCCAGGCATTCGTCTGCATAGTTTTACCACAAAAGAATGCTATATTTACTAAAGTAAGCATGTTATGTAGCGCCTATTTTCTTTGCATATGCTCTGTGCTATGTTATGCCTCAACTGCCCCACCAAATCCTGTGCTATAGCAGATAGATATGTCTATATTAATATCCCTTGTTCTCCGGTTTCCATTTAATATCAGTTTGATTTGTTAAGTATACCGTCCCCACTAGAGAACTTACAGCAATAGTCTATTCCTTTTAATCATTGTCAAGCGGTGTATTAAATAAATGGAGTGGAAGGGTGTGAAAGAAAAAAAGAGGGAGCAAAAGAGGTATCGAGAAGGTTTGGAGTGATCAGTTGGTGCATTGGTACACTAAGCATTCATAACAGGACGCACCGCACCCACATCTGCACACGTGGAAGTTGTCTAAATTTATTCATGAAAAAGAATACACTCTGCTTTTTTTAAGGAGTTTTCATCTGTGATGGAGTGGAAAATGGTGCTGTGCTTTCTGGTGTTGATATAGACAAGAGATTAGCCTAACGCTAACGTAACGCTTCCATGTAGTGTGGCGTATTTGTCTCAGTACAATTTTGACAGAATGATCGGGAAAAAAAAAAACAGCCAAATAAGGCTGAGCTGTAACACAATGTCATAAAAAAAAAGCATTTCGTCATTGAATATAATAATAAATCAGAGATTTTGCAAACTGATAACATGCTTTAAAATGGAGAGGAACTGAGCCGTTTAAACTGGGCGGCCCGTATTGAGTCTCTGACTGAGGTCTCATGGGGGAAACAAGCGCACGCTCGATCTCAAGTGTCTTTATAAGCCTCAGACAGGAACAGGATGTGACATGGGTACGCAAACCACAAATCTGAGGGGAAGCAAAAGGCAGAGCAGGTGGAGAAAGGTGGGAGAGAGACGAGAGGGAGGATCATGAGAAAAAGAGAAAGACAGACACACACAGAGTGGCTCAGGAGTACGGTTGTGGTACCCCAAAACCGGGCCTATAAAGTGGTCTAGCTGTGGGTGATTGGGTTGATGGGCCATGGGGGCCTGTGGGGTAGTTGTACCCTCCATAAGCATATGGAGCGGGGTACGGGGCAGCCGTGGAACCAAACTGCCCAAACGGTGGAGCAGGAAATGGTGGTTGGGTGGGGTACGGGCAATTGGGGGGACCAAACGCAGGCCTGGGAGCTGTGTAGCCTGTCGATGGAGGGAAGGGGGCACCCTGGCTGGGGTAGGGCTGAAACGCTGTGCTAGGGTTAGTGATGCCCGCTGTGGAGGCAGAGGGGGGAGCAACGGGGTAGGGGGTGTAGGGCAGAGCAGAAGTGGCGGCATTGGAGGGTGCACTGATTTTGGAGCTCTGCTGCTGTTGAGGCTGCGGTTGTTGCCACTGCGATGATGATCCAGCATCCTGATTGGCACCGGTTTGTGATGTCACTGTAGCATCTCCTATCCCTTTGCTTTTTAGGCTGAGAATTTCTTGCAGCTTTTCGATGCGCACTCGTCTCGTGTGAGCGAGAGAGCGGAGGGAAAGGAAGCGTTCGAGGAAGGATTCCAGCGATATCGAACCTTCGAGAAACTCGTCTGCTAAAACCTGAGGGAAAGAGATTGAGCGATTTACAAATCCTGTGGGGTTGGTAACACCATAAAAGTTTTAGAATATTATATAATGCTTAGGAGATCAGTAGTTCACAAGTCTTCAAATATGAATATACACCACCATTCAAACGTTTGCAAACACTTTAAGTATTTTTTAAATAAACTGTCATTTTTATTCACCTTAGAAACATCAAATTAAACATACTTTTTGCAAAGCATTCTATTTCTATTTACAAAAAAAATATTTGCAAGATCTCTGTTCAAAGAATCCGTTTAAGGATTGCATAAGATTTTCTTAGTAGACTAGAGTAATAACTGCTTAGACTATTTGATGGCTTTGCCAGGACAGTTAAAGTAGTAATTTTAAAATATTATATCATTCATAATTGGATTATAATTACTTTCAGTTACAATCATTTATATTATTATTAAATTACTATTTTGATTAGATTAAATTAAATGCTACACTGGTGAACAGAAGGATGATTTTTTTTTTTTTTTGATAGTTTCTTATTTTTATTCTGATCCCCTTTCTTTATATGTAGTCATGTTAAAATTAGGGCTGTGCATCACCAGCAAAGTCATGATACGATACGTATCACGATACAGATGCCACGATACGATACGTATCACGATACGGGACTGCACTGAATTTCACCTCAGAAGAATTTAGTAAAACAGCTGTTTATTAAACACTGCATACTATAGTGCCATTTCGAACTATTGGCAGAGCAGGCAGTTGACCTCTGCATTATGAAGGGCCTCCATAACTGTACCACAGTACAATATAGGTAATGGCATATGTTTCATGTTTACATTGGGCACTCCCCACCAGGTACAATATTCTGATTTTTTGCATCTTGTTTTTAAGCCAATAAATAATAATGTACTCATTCTATTATATTAATAAAATCTCCTTCCATTGCTGGTAGGTTATCATTGTACAAATTAACTAACACACGTTTAAAAAATAAAAACAAAAAATTAGAAGCGTTCTTAACTAATGCGCTGTCTTCACTGTAGCTCATGCGGACACATTCAGTCTCTTACTCAGCGCTGCTCTGCAGTTTCATCAATAAAAGAGCTTCACCGCTGAAGAGCTACACTATCTTTCTCAGCAAAGAGTTGGTAACATCGTTTCTGAAGCAATTTAAGCCACCTCTTCACTGTTAATAGAGAAACACGGCAAAAACGGAGGCAATTCTTAAATACATCGTCTCGCTCTCTCGTAAATGAACACTTGATGAATTATTTACATTGCTGGTAGGTTATCATTGCACAAATTAACGCACTCTCTACGTTTAAAAAATACAAATTAGAAGAGTTCTAAACTAATGTGCTGTCTTCTGTATCTAATGCACACACACGCTCAGTCACTCATACATATCACGCTGTGGCCGCACTCAGACATTCAGGAACAAACTTTTTAGCGCTGCCCTGCAATTTTATCAACTAAATAGCTTAATCGCTCAAGAGCTACATTATCTTTCTCAACAAGGAGCTGGTAACATCGTTGTTTCTAAAGGAATTAAAGCCACAGCTTCACTGTTAATAGAGAAACACGGCAAAACGGTGGTAATTCATACATACACAGCCCCTCTCTCTCTCTCTCTCTCTACATAAACATAAAAATGTCCTGATATTTTTGAAAACTTTTGATTGCTTGTGTTTATGAAAATAAACTATGATTACATCAAGGCTTCCAGACTTTCATAATTTGAATGTGCAGGATGTTATCATTTTTTAAAGCGATTACATAGTTTCATAGGGTATGTAATGTAAAAATGTCTGTTGATGTTAATAATTACGTTTAATATAAACTAAAAAGGTTAATATGATGGAAAGGTATAAGAAATAACTGATTTTATTTAAGGCAAAAGCAGATGTTTTCTACTCATTCCTGCTCGTTTCCCAAACAATCATCTTTTTTTTTTCTTTTTTTTATCCACAATCAATAAGCAAACCTGACAGTTTCACAAACAACCAAAATGCCAATATCAACAGAAAAATGATGAAAATAGGTGATTATAAAAGCCAAGGGGGCCCACCTCTGATTCTGCCTCTGTGCTGGCGCCCTCTATCTGCAGACGAGACAACAGCCCCTCCGGAGACACCTGCCCTATGATGCTGTCTGCAGAGACGGAAAGGGAAAAGAGAAACAGAAGTGGGACAGAGTTGACACATAAATAGGCTGGCTTGTAACGGAGCAAGAAACTGAAAAGTGAGAACTGTTATGCAAACAAATTAGTTGACTAGAAATGCGTAATCATTTTAACAAAGGAAAAAGCAGTAATGAATAGACTGAGAGAAAGAAAGGAGAATGAGACTATGGAGGCCAGACACATAGCTTTTGTGTGATGTAATGTCACAGATGCAAAAAAAGGGGAGGAGAATGAGTGCCAGAACAAAACAAGCTCATAGAACAGCACTTTATGACAGACATATGCGCACATAGAAGATGATTTTCTGGCTGAACAACATGCTCTATATAGAAACTCAGTCAGAATTCCAGTATCTGTTCAAAGGTTAATGGTTCCAGGGTGCCTTGAAGTACCATGAAAACTGCCAGTGCACTTTAACTGTATTGTGAACAAAAGTTAAGTCATTTTATTTTCACTTCATTGAGCTAAATAAAAGCAGCGCTAATAATAGAATCTTTTTAAAAAGATTCATTCTATTTTTCACACTGCCTAAGCCTTCTCTTTTAGAACATTCAAATTAATTTATTTTCCATATATAACACTTACACGCTTTCCTAAGATGTTTACATTCTATTTTTCTTAAGATTTTGTTTATTTCAATAACTTGCCAATATACAACAATAGGACTTTAAGACATTAAGATATAAACCTTTCAGTTACAGCTGAACAGAAAAAGAATAGGGAAAATGTATTCAATAAAATATAAAAATATGACAAAAAAAAGCCTTTCCAATAAAATCAATAAAATTGACATTTTGTTATAAACAGAAATCTTAAATGTTAATCTGGTTTTGAGCATGAATTTCATCAAAAGGGCTATGCAAATTATAATATATTATATTTTGTTATTCTTCATGATAATACCACATTGTTTGTTTTAAATAGGATAATACGAAAGCACATCATTACCACATGATTAACATAATTTCTTCTCAGAGAAAAACTACTCACCTCTCCTTGTTTTACAAAACCTGCTCTGACAATCAATTTCTCTCCCTCGTCATTTTACATCAATTTATACCCAGAATTCATTCCTATACTCTCTTTGAAATCTTTACTTTACACAAATCGATTCCTCCTTTCCCTTACCTCTCATGGCACAGTGTTGTTTGTATTTCTCCCTCACTTCCTCTAGTTCAGCATATTTTCCCACCAGTCGCGCCCTCTCTGTTTCGAGTCGGGGCTTCATGTCCAGGTTTTGCTCGGCCAGACTGCGATTGGCAGCCAGAGCCATTTCCCTCTCCAACTGAATGTTCTGAATCTGCAGAAGATTAACACGGACACATGACAAAAGCTACAATGATATAGAGTCTATAGACATTATAAAGTCCACCGTGATGGCTGTTGATGCTGAGTAGATAAGTGGTCATTTCTGAATGAAGTGATGACGAGATTACCAGAAACAAACAAACAAAAATGACTAGAAGTACAGAGAGGAGTGGATAAATGACTTCAATCTGATGTTTAATTTTAATTAGCAATATATGCAAATGTAAATGTTCATTTATAGCCTCAATAATATAAGCAGGTTAAAGGGATAGTTCATCCAAACTTCTTGTCACCATTTACGCGCTCTTAAGTTCTTCTTAATTTTCTTTTCATAATATGGGGTCAATGCCTACCAGCAAATGTTTGGTTACCCACATTCTTCAAAATATCTTAATTTGTTCAACAGAAGAAAGAAACTTGAGGGTGAATAAAAGATGACAGAATTTTCATTTTGGCGTGAACTATCCCTTTAATCACACCACAGACTACTACTGTATGCCACAATGGTGCTGTTAAAACAAAGGTTTTATGTCATTCTAGCACTTTGTAACCTTTCGTGGCTGCATTTTCTAAAAAGTATCACAAGCGTATTTAGGTTGCAGAAACCACTCGCACCAAATTCAAAGTCTCTGTACCTAATAGGGCTGCACGATTAATCGCATGCGATATTTAACGCGCATCTTGTCAGAAAGCCGGTTCTGTAATCAGCGGTAAATCTCCATCACCTGCGGGCTTTCACATTGAGCAGCATTAACTACACAGAGCCGTTGTTCACTGATGAGCAGCGCAAAAAATCGCGCGAATATGAACGTGGTTTAGCGCAGCTCGTCAGTGAACAACGGCTCTGTGTAGTTAATGCTGCTCAATGTGAAAGCACGCAGGTGATGGAGATTTACTGCTGATTACGGAACCGGCTTTACTGATAAGATGCGCGTTAAATATCGCATGCGATTAATCGTGCAGCCCTAGTACCTAATATTCATTTTACTTTTTGATTAAGGAAAATTACAGTTCACAGAGACATAGATTGAGAAATACCAATGTGAAATACAACATTTACCCTTCATTATCATTATGCAAAGAACAAACCACTACTTCACTAATTCAATAACTCACTTTTCTCCTCCACCAAGGCTCTGAAATCTCATTTACGTTCATGTATATTCAAATATGACTTGTAAGGATGTGCCACAATAGGTCTGACAACAATGCAGCAAGGCCTTGTAGGTGATGCTGATGCAAATTTTAGAATTTCAGTAGATAAGACTTTGGTTTATTGGGCTATTTAAAAAATTGCAATATGGCGAGTCTTAAGAACTTCTGATACACTCTGGGTTTCCTAAAGAACCTTTAAGTGAACAGTACTCAATATAGGCCTACACTTTTTTTGTAAATGTGTAAGAACAGTTTAATAATCTGAAGAACCTTTTGTACAATGGAAAGGTTCCATGGATGTTAAAGTTTCTTCACTGAACCACTGATGACAATAAAGAACCTTTACTTTTAAGGGTGTAAGGTAATTTTAAAGGTCTTTTTTGGACCTTGGACAGCATTGGCAGCAAAAACATCTTTCCTAACATCTCCTTTTGTGTTCGACAGAACAAGGACATTGAAATAAGTTTGGAACAATGTGTGGGTTAATAAATAATGACAGAATTTTCATTATTGGGAGAACTATCTCTAACAAAGCTCCATAATCATCTTACCTCATCAGACTCCAGTGCCATAGACTCCACCCGCTCCGAGCTATCCAGCAAATCCTGCAACTCGGGCTGGCTGAGGTCTTGAAGCTTCTCCATTGATTTGCTAGGACAGCTGAGGAGCAACAGCGAGTTTACTTATGTGTGCTAATAATTTATAATAATAATTAAAATTAATATTATATCAGACATTTCATTTTTGGGTAAACTATCCTTTTAAATTGAAGTAGGCTAGCAGTTTATACTTGGTATTAGTCATTTTGGATATCAAACCACTACTTTAAGATTGATAGGTAATCTGGATCACCTATGGCAGTCTTCTGTCATTAGGACAGCACATTGTGGATTACTTTATGTATATGGCTAGGAATTATGCTAATGAAGCTAAACTTAACTCTACCTGCTTGGTATTTCTTAAAGAATCCGCCAATACTTACAAGGTACAAGCAAATCAAAGTCCTCTCCGCACAGTGCTCATGGAAAAACATCAAACTTAACTGGAAGCGAGTGACGTGAAGATGTGTAGACGGAAGTGCTGAGCCTGACAACGTCTTCGGCGTTAAACCCGCTTCCTGCCAGAAAGACTTCACTTATCTGTACCAGGTGCAGCGCGTTATTTAGCGCGACAAAGTGGAAATATTTTCCCGAAATTATTCCGGGAGACTGAAATCTCCCCGCGGTTAGCAGGACGGCTAGCTCACTTGAAAGAGAGCAGTTGAGCCAGGCGGGTTGCTATTCAATACAAAACGGCGTCGGACGAAATAACAACTCGGAAAGACATCATAATGTGTGTCCAGTAAAGCCGCATCGATGTCAGTTCGAGCAAAGTAGTCCAAATAAAGGTTAATTGACAAGCTATATTCCTATACTTAAGGGAAAGTTTCACTTCTCGTTGACAGATATCGTGGCCATCTTTGGATGAAACCATTGTCGATTTTGTCTAGGGAAGTGAGATATGTTTAAAGCACCCTAAAACACAGCTTACATTTCTTGACAAGAATATTATATTTAGTTTTAGAGTATGGCTTAAATAACTATATAAAAATTGTATAATGTAGAAAATGAAAAGACTTTCTCATCGTTTCGTGGAAATACCATAGTGTTCCCCTAACTTTGATTTTATACGGTATCGTCGTATGTGCAGCTGACTGAAAGGGAAACCCCGATGTGACGGGAATATTCCATATGTGACATGGCAGCAGGGTTGGTCCTAATATTTCACCAGAAAAGCAACATAGATTTTTTAAATATAAAAGTTTAATATTCAGAAAGAATGGTCTCACACATTTACAGATATAAGCACTAAAGATACATTATTTTAGCTTTTGGAATTACAAGCACTAAAGATGTGTTTTCATCATTGTGTTTTACACATTTAATTATATACATTTCATTTGACACAATAATTTGTGATTTTATTAGTTTTCAGAGTTTCATTGATCGTGTCATTGGCAATGATTTCACTGCTAATTAAACAAAGTGGTCGAAAATACCATCAAGGTTGTAACATTGGCACCACATAGTTTTATTTATTTTTTTACTTCAAAAAATAAAGTATAAACTTACATTTTCAGTAATAGTGGGTTAAATGTTTACAGTGTATAGTAAGCTATGTTTCACAAAGGCTTTCAAATCTGTATTTTTTATTTTTTTTTTTGTAAATGACAATATTGTAAATTCACATTTTTAAGTAGAAGAAGAAGAAGAAGAGAAAACAAGGACAGAAAAACAATAGCGGTGATAATCATTTGGAGGCAAAATACTAATTAAAATATAAAGGATTAGATGTAAAAATCTGTGCCAAAAAAAGAGAAGTGTGTGGTGTATGGAAAATGTAATCTCAATGTATTCTCAGTCCTTTAAATGCAGAAAATGATAGAAAACAATGAAGAACCAGAGCTGCAATATTATAAAACAACAGCTGCCCAGAAATGGTTTTGTAAAAACTCTGTCAAAACAAAAAGAGAAGATTTAATCAGTTCATGTTTTTTTTTTTTTTTTAAATCAACTTAAAAGTATTCAATAATATATTTGGCCGATACATTCTCCATTAACCATGATTAAAATACTGTGAGTCACAGCACAGAACGTGTATTATGCAGTTTTGTAATGTAGTGGTATCTTCTGGATGAAGTAGGCAGGAAGATTTTAATGTGTAATACAGGCCAGTTTTTATTTTCATTTGTGTAACTGGCTAATGGCAGGATAAGTCAATAATTTTCACTTACTTGAAAGATCGTTTCTGGACAAGCGTAGTTTTCATGGGATTCATGTGAGCAAGGAGGGATGTCCAGAGAGGTACTTGCAGCATAACCATACAGAATAAGTCCAATCAGTGTCCCCACCAGGCCAGCAAGACCAGAGATCAGACAGTTTTTTAACTTACAGGGAGAAAACCAGATCATTTCGTAAATGTCCGAATAAAGTTTAACAATTCACAACCAATAAGAAGCTCTAGTTACTTTAATTTACCAGTTCTCTCTTAGGAGTTCTTTCAGATGCCATACCAAATGATCCAGCAATCACAGACTACATTAAAAAAAAAACAGAATTAGAAGAGAAAGTTGATCTTACATTAAAGCAATTGTCAGAATAAAGTATGCAATTGTACAAAACTTATTAATGGGCAGAATGTCACTGGGACTTTTTGATATGTGTTTATATGCTATGCTTGCTTTGTGTACGTTATGTTCATTTATGTATTTTGTGTTTTAACAACTACAGTATCTTAGTAGTGAAATAAACATACCACAGAACCAACACAGAGGGGGCACATAAACAAATATTTTATATCAAGGCTGATGCTGTAGGTTGGTATAGTCAGGAGGAGCTGGAACAAACCTAATAATATTACCATAAGCTAGAGAGGGACAAATTCAAACAAGAACAACATTAAGCAAAACATCTCAAAGAAAACTGTTACAGTAAGATCCCAAACTACCATTATCTGTCTTCCTTAATGACAAATTATTTGGCCCACATCCACTTACTGCCACCACTTCAGGGTCATAAAACTTGAACAGTCGATGGAATTTGGGAGGATCTGGGTCAGTAGACGGCATTTGGTTGCTTGACATCCTGAAAACCCACCTAAAACCCAACTGAGGTGCTAAAAAACAAAAACATTTCAAAGTACAGATCAACGATTATAATGGCTCCTTACAGACTTAGATAACAGTGAGAGAGTCGGTATATGAAACATGATCTGATCCCCCTGGATTAATGGAACGTTTTGTGGGAATACAGATGCTGGAGAAGAAAAACATCTTTGTGAGGAGAGGAAGTGGGCGGATATAATAGCCTACAGAAAATGTGTCTGGAGAGAAGAGCAGCGCAGCTTGATACAATCCTGATTGCTCAACAGCACTGCAGAGGAAAAGGAAAGTACAAGAAAAAAAAATGATAGTACACTACATGCATTGCCTTAAGTGGGCTGGACTGACCAGATGTCCAAAACAGCTCCAGTTTGCGTTTTTATAAGTTTGTATACGATCACAAATACACATGATAACTATGGCAAGCCACTACACAATTTAAAAGCACTTTTTAAAAACTAGTTTCAGGCATCACCAAAAAAAGACTGTCATGAATACAGCTAGAAAGTATGTCACATGTTACTGATAAATATGTCCGGTCAAATGTAATTTTCATTCAAATAACGCACGACCAACTCACCTCGAACGTCGTTTCTGGGAATCCTAGAAAGCTCGTGGCTGAGGGGAACAGAGCTGTTTATGAAGTGATCGAAGACGCTCAATAAAAGCTCCTATGGGGAGAAGGGGGCTGGATAGACCCCTTTTCTTTGTGATGCTTGCATAAAAACGCAAGGGTGGGTCTAACTGTTTTTGTAACACAGATCTTTCCTTTGGAATTGTTGCGCACTTAGTGATTCATACAAGCAACAGGAGAAGGTCCAGCCAGTAGCCTACACAACAAACAAACAACTTGAAAGAACGTGCAGAATCCTTGCAGACTTTTTTAGGTCAGCCTGTCTGTCTCACTCATTCATGTGGAATTCCGCTCTGCGCGTACATCGAGTTTGTTGTACTTCTTAAAAGTATCTGGCATTACCCAGCTGTGTTCATTGTCGCATTTGTTATTACAAACTCCACTTACTTGAAAACGAAGGATGACTTTGACCGTGTCGACGGACCTGTCAGTGAACACTAGCCCAACTCAGGTAGAGGAAAAACTACAAGACAAACAAAAAGCTCTCCGGGACAGCATCGAGAAGGGGGAGCCCAAAATATTCGGGGTGAGTGAACGTCATGTTATGGCTTCAATAATCATAAAATGCTCCGCACAGGTTCTCACAGGGAGGTTTTCTGGCACAATTGTGCATCTTGAAAGCAAATGGGGGTTCTTTTGTCTGATAATTTCATAAATTAACTTCACAATGCAAATGTCTTCACTGTCACAAGAGAAAAGAGAAATGAATAATGTGTGTATAAATTTACATTTTCTTTACACCTTGCATCTTGTCTTTATATCTGTACATAATATGCAGTTATAGACCTCAAAATCTCTTAGAGCTCCTGATTCAGGGAACATGGTGATTAAAAACAGAAACACTTTCAAATAGAATTTCCTCTAAAATAATTAATTCTATATTTCCAGTCTACGGCTGTTGTTAGGGGTTTACATTGGCCCCTGCATTTTTACCATTTTAAATAACAATTTTGCCTAGTCGATCATTTAATTAGCCTATACATTACAACATTTAAAATTATGTTGAATAATATTTCATAAGAAAATCTACATTTAAAACTACAAATATAGTGTAGTACATTAAATATAAAACAGTTCTGATTCATGTGTTCCCGTCTTATAAGATTCTGTCTTAATATTTTTAATATAGTCTTGACTTTGTGTAAAATTGTGTTATTTGTGTAAGTGTGAAAGAAGTGCTAAACACTGAATAATTATAGAAGAAAGATCATTTTTGTTTAAGATGCTATCAGAAACAGTTTAACATCATACCTCAGCTAAAACTGATTTAAATTTACTCTCATCTACAGTAGATTACAAAAACCCAAGTTATATTTTACTTGATGTATGAAATTCATGCTGAGCCACCCCTCTTTTTTTCTGTCTCTCATAGGTCGCTCAGATAGTAATAGGATTGCTGATCATCTCCTATTCTATTCCTCTGCTCTCTGCTGAGAGGACCATGATACTTAACTTTGGTGTGCCATGGTGGAGTGGCCTTATGGTAAATTACACTAATATGTTAGGACATGGTTATATAATAGTTTCTTTATGATAGCAAAGGATTTAAAAGGGTCATATGATGTTGCTAAAAAGAACATTCTTTTGTGTATTTGGTGTAATGAAATGTGTTTATGCGGTTTAAGGTTA